TGCATGTCTTTCCCCACCTCACTCGGTTATTTGAATAATTATTCGCCAAAAATAGATAGCTCTTATTTTGTTCCTTTTCAGAAGTACAGCATATATGTGGGACATCGTAACACCTTTTCATCCGATGAGGATGCTACAAAATTAAGAAATAAATAGAGAAAAGGAACTTTCTATCCCTTCGCTTCTAAATCATAACAACCGGCCTAATTCGCTTCAAAGACCGAAGTAAAATAAATAAATAAATACAAATCTCTACAAGGAAGCTTCAACAAAAGGGGGTCGGTAGATGGGATGACCCGGGGGGGGTTAGCGAACAAGCGGTCGCGCATCGCTGAGTGACTCTCCTCTATCCAGGCCGTGTGGTATCGTGCCGATTAACCTGTTCGCAGTCACAGTTGTAGTCACGCTTTGAGTGCTCCCTAATTATGCTCATCAAGGGAAGGATTGAAAAAGTCGTGTTGGTACTAAATGCCACCACACGTGAGGAGATTATCAAGCGATTTAATGCATTTTTGTAAGGGGGCTCTTTGTGGTAAATAAAACAATTAACAGTGGGGGAAGGGGAAAAAAAGTCTTAACATGCGAATTAGATTAAAGATTGGAATCTCGACAAACGTGTTATTTGGGATCATTATTTTAAGCTATCTGTGTCAAATAACCGTGAGTTGTTTTGTTTATAAACATTTTATCTTTTACAGTCTTAACCCTAATTTCTTTAAACGTTTAGAGACATGAATAAAAAGTTTAACTGTAACCTCACGATTTAGTTGGATGTTTGGGGGAGGAATATGTCCGTTAACACCAAAAGACTTGGAAATCGAATGTATTTTAAAACAATTGTAAGCAGTTGACCTTTGACCAGCGGAGATTCGAAATCCGCAGCTCCGTTTTGCTTCTTTTTTTTTTTTTTTTTTTTCAATAAGCATACCCAAATGCTGTTATCAGCGCCGAACACTGGTAGTTCGATCCGAGATTCCAAACTCTCGAATGCAATTGTCGACTCAAAGTGGCAAGAAGAATGGGATTCTCCATTGCAAGGCAGAAGAGTCCACGATTTTTTCCCAAGAACTGATAAAGAGGCACTGCAATATGACCATGTTCTGAATCAGTATATCACAGGGCACGGTTCTATCCCCACCTGCTTCCATGACAGAGGCATGTGCGCCACGGATCTCTGCATATGTGGCGAAAGAGATGACCCTGATCATTACATTCTTGGCTGTAATCTAACAGACGGCAAACATCTGATTAAGCCTAACAACAGTCTAATACCATTTAATAAATACGCAATAAAGAACAGATACCTTAGGACCAAAATCAGAGACGTTCTTACACATATCCAAAGAATCGGACTGGACATTTTTCATATCTAACGCTTATTCATCTCCATATATTTCTAATATATATATACGCGTAAAAAGCTTGGTTCAAATTGGAACAGAGAATTGAGACTAAAGTTTTTCAGACGTAGTTTATTTAATTCATTAAAAATTTGTCGCGCAAAGTTTCAATTGTCTGTTTCGGCGAAACGCGTAATAGAGTTAGCTTGGTGCGAAATTCATTTAAATAAAATTTCCCTTGTAAAGCCAAAATGAACTTCGAATTAGGCTAATTAACCATTTTCCACTTCTTATTTTATTATATTTTATATATTTTTCATATTTTACCTTGATCAATTAATTAGTATTTTACTGTGTTTTATAATCTACTTTTTTCGTTTAGCATATAGGCTACTATCTTTATTTTACCTCGTTCGATTGATTTGTTTTTTTTACTGTGTTAAAAATTACCTAGTTTGTTTAGCATATAGCTTTTTTATTAATTTAACATGTAAATATTCAAATATTTTTTTCCTCCTATTTCACACATTTCATAGCAACTAAATATGCTTATGTTGGAGTTTTCACGGAGCCTCAGTTTTTGATAACTTTTTGGCGTGCATACTAAAATTTATCTTCTAATTTCCCTAATTTTGCAGCACAATGGGCAAAATTTTGACCTAAATTGGTGTTTTTAGTTTGTTCTTACAACCTTACTTATAATATATATATATATAATTTTAATATTTCAACAATTTCATTTTTCTACGCAATGCTGATGGACGGGAGCTCCAAAAGACTTAGAAAAGACATTTGTTCATACATTTAGATTTTTGTAAGCATCAGGTGTTGAACTTTTCAATGTGAAACGTCTTTTCTCAATGTGATTTGTGATCAGTTATCTCATGGAAGTCCTGTCTCATAAAGGTGTTGATGGTAAATAAGGAGGGGCGGGAGGACCTCGGACCACCCCCCCGGAGTGTTCACCGCCACATACATCCCTGCGGATGCTGTGCCATAATCCACATAATCTAATCCGTGAATATATACTTCTACAGCATCGGACTTCTTGCTTATCTAACTATCGCATGAACTTTCTCATAGCTCTTCCTATTCTTTATTTAATTGCATGCGTGAAGACGTAAAATATAAAACGTCATTTTATGCACCAGCTGCTGATCCGGAAATTTGGAACTTTGTGCGCAAAGACTTAGTAGCACGATAACACCAGAGTTTAGTAACGCGAAAATTTTAGAAACACGATTTTAATGAAATGAACAAAAATGTTTAAACTAAATAAATTAAATAAAAAATGAAAATCTGAAAACTATCAGATTTTACATTACGCCCAAAGTGTAGCTTTTTTAACGTTTTATGTGCTACCTTTGTTTATTAAATATCGTGTTCTTCGCACGCAAATCATAAAATTCAGTTCAAGAGCAATATCGCAAAATAATTTTAAAATGAGCGTATCTTTAGAATTTCCGATACACAATCTCGCCCGCTGGGAAAAATTCCCTGTACAGTATTGCCATTGCTCGCTTTGAAATCGTTGAGTTTGTTGATCAAAAATCCGTTAAAGTTTTACAAAATATGAAACAGATAATAAAACAAATGCCAGATTCGTTATTCAAAATTTTTTAAAATTATTTTTGTCTTTATTATTAAGCATCATTTTCTTCGCACTACGCCACATACAATTCAACAGCAAAATTGCTAAAACGTTAAAAGCAGCATAGCGGTTTACGTTTAGGTTTCCCGATGCGTTTACGAAATTGTCTTTTAATCTTTTTATTATTAACGTTTTGTGTGTTTTATTGTTTTGCGTACTTATTAAATATCACTTCTTGGTGTTTACGCAACATAAATTTTGATTCACCAGCAAAATCACAGAATATTTTAAAACAGCGTATTTTAGAATTTCCGATAGGCAAGTCTCTCGCGCTGGAGATAAAAATTTTCCATACAGTGTTATCACGTCTCCCTTTGAAATTGTTGATGTGCCCATGTTCAGGTGGGGGACTACGTTATTCAAAATTGGATTTCGTTGTCTTTTTATTATTAACGTTTTGTGTGTTTACTTTATTTATAAAATATCACCTGTTTTGAATTTAATCATCACTACTCTGTTTTTAATCCAAGCATTGCTCTTCTTAATTTAATCGTGGCTAATTTGTTTTCTTTTAATTCAACCATTGTTCTGTTTTTAATTTAATTATCGCTACTGTATTTTTAATTTAATCATTGCCACTCTGTTAAACGTGTAATAAGTTTGTAATTAGTGCAAGTGTAATAAAATGACTAAAATTTTCATTATTTGTTCAGTCAATCTCCACAGATTGCATTCAAAGACATCTAAATATATCATTGTTTGAAGAGTTGAACAAACTGAAAGGTAAAACTGAGCGGAAAAGACTTCGAAAAGGAGGCGTTGGGCCAAGAAAAAGGTTGAGAGACTTATGTTTCAAAGAAACGTATATGAAATCTGTGGAACACACCGAGCTTCTATTCACTTTTTAAAGATAAAATCCGGATAGAAAAGCTGTACCTAAATTTGTTATCGACCATTGTTTTAACTGCTTCCCCTGCGAATGAAAGAGATGTTTAAGCAGACATAAACAACTCCTCCTTGTCACTTGCATCACATTTGCAGGCTCTCACTTCAAGTTGTCGCGCTTTTCTCCCCCAATCCCCTCCTCCCCTTGTCGCACGCGAAAAAAAGAATGTTCGTCACTCCGCGCGGCGACGCGTCCCCACCCCGCAGACGATTTATCCGAAACGCGCAGCGGCGGCAACGCAGTTGGAGAAAAAGTGAATCCTTGCCAACCCCACTCTATCGGCAGTCTCCCGCGGCAGTTGCCGGCCCTAGGAAAGCTTATCGTCTGCGTATCGATTTGCCTGTCATCGTTTTCATTACCGGCGTCTTAATCGATGATAATCGCTCGACAGCGCACCCGCTCTTTTTGGAGAAGTGTTGAAGTTGTTCGTAGTGTCTTCGATGTGAATTGGAAGAGTCGACAACCGTATTCCGGAAGGGAAAACAAGGGCTTATTTATTCCCTTGGAGCTTCGATTCCGATTGTGATATTATTCTAACTGTCGTAGTGCTTCGATTATTTCCCCCTCGTTATTGACGATATCAGCAATTCTACTCTTCATTTATAAATATGACGCTGCACTAATTGTGGCATCTAGCATCATTGTTATTTATTTATTTATTGAAATTTCAAAAAAATTTAAAATTTAGATTTAGGATATAATTTTTAGTTCATGTTACTTACTATTGTTTCTTAATTTTAATTTAGTATTTTAAAATTTCCCTCCAACCAATTTAATTGTGTAGTGTATGGAAAACTTTGTGCGCACAGCTAAGTAAATTTTTCCAATCACTTTTTATTGCATCTTTAAATAAATGGTGCTTTTATTATTAGGCTGTAATATCTAAAAAGTTTTTTTGCAAGAACTGTAATATAAATTGTAAACATATACCAACCAGTTTTTTTGCAAGAAATTTAATATAAATTGTAAATTTATACCAACCACTTTTTCTGCAAAAAGTTAAGGTTTTTTTTAAATTATTTTTAATCTCTAAAGCTAATTGAACATTTTAGTAATATTCTATTTATTTATAAAATCAATTTTTTTAACCTTTTTAGTGTATTGCATGTGTTGTAAATTAATGTCTATTTTAAATGATGACTTACTTGCAGTTCGCGGTTTGATTAACCGAAAGAAGAATTTCAAATATGATCAAACACTTTATCACTATATTTTATGTTGCTGAAGCAGATTTTACGTTATTTGTCTAAAATTTGTAACCCATTCTTCGGCTTTGTTATATGCATGCCATAAATGAATACAACTTTTGAATCTGTTGGGCAATATTTCGAATCTTCTGTGAAATGATATGTTAAATTCCCTGACTATGTCGAAATCTAAGTCAGTAGCAACAAAAATACTCAAACTGTTTTATGTGAAGTATTTTGTTTGAATGCAGCCTTTGGGCTATTTTTGCAATTTGTGCCAGGCCACAGGCCGGCTCACTACAAGGTGTCTTCTTTGTCCAACAGCTGTCCAAAGGGGGCGGGTCCCCCCGAGCCAGCACGCCCTACCCGGACAGATACCCTTGGCCAATGGTGATGCGCTCAATGGGCATTCCTCCTACTTGTCCAGTTTCATCTCCTTGCTGCTTCGGGCCGAACCCTACCCACCATCCCGTTACGCCCAGTGTATGCAGCCGAACAACATCATGGGCATTGACAACATCTGCGAGCTGGCTGCCAGGCTACTCTTCAGCGCCGTGGAGTGGGCGAGAAACATACCTTTCTTCCCCGACCTTCAGGTGACCGACCAGGTGGCGCTGCTCAGGTTGGTCTGGAGCGAACTGTTCGTGCTAAACGCTTCCCAGTGCTCGATGCCCCTGCACGTGGCGCCCCTGCTCGCAGCAGCCGGGCTCCACGCGTCTCCCATGGCGGCGGACAGAGTGGTTGCCTTCATGGACCACATCAGGATCTTTCAAGAACAAGTGGAGAAGCTAAAGGCACTGCACGTGGATGCTGCCGAGTACAGCTGCCTCAAAGCCATTGTCCTCTTCACAACGGGTGAGTACTTTTCCGCTCCTTTACACCACTCATAACAAGTGTTTTTCATCACACATGACTCACCCACACAAATGTTGTTTGTTACACATGTTTGTCTATTTGTCTACATTCTTGTTTGCTGACACTTCTTCCAATATTATACCAATACATTATGGAACATTTATTGGATTGAAACATAAGTAATGGCCGTTATTTTAATTAAAAATTTTTTATTTTATTTGAACAAAACAATAAATTAGTCAATAATATCCGAGTTTTTGGACTTTCCCCATAGACCCAAGATGTCGAACTATAGTCATTTGACTACAACTCATTCGTTCGGCTAATTCTCGAGTGGTTTGACTCGCGTCTTCGTGCAAAAGTTGATCCAAACGCTCTTCATCAAACTCATTTGGTCGTCCGGAACGAGCAGCGTCTTTGACGTTGAAATGAATTTGTCAAACCAATTATTTGCAGTTCGTTCAGGCATTGCACTTTCTCCATACACTTCACAAACTTCTCGGAAAGCTTCTCTAGCATTGGCGTCTCGATTAAAAGTAAATAAAAGAAGGTGTCAAAAATGCTCATTTTTGTCGACTTGACACTCCATTTGAATGATCTGAAAAATAACAAAAATTAGCTCAGCCAAAAAAATGAAATACACCCTTTTGTAGAGGGAAAGATCCTCTTTCGAATAACACAAAACATGTTTCCATTACATTTTATTTTTACCGCGTAATTTTAAGCACAACATAAACGGCCATTCCTTATGTTTCAACACAATAGTAATACATGAAGTGGTACATTACACTGAATGTACATAGGACATTAAAAACAATGTGATTGACTTATAAATGCATTTATCATGTAATACAGTGACGGAATATACAATGTAAGGAAACTTAATAACATTTATCATGTAATACAGTGTAAATCTTATGTGGCAGAAAAATAATTTGTTGTGTTCTGCTTGAAATTACTTTTGAACCTTTATATAAACATACATATTTTTACCAATATACAATTCTTGAAATTTCATATATAATTACGTTTATTCTTGAATGAATACAATTTTAAGAATTTTGTATCGGTTAGTCGATTCTTGACATCTGTTCGCTTAGATCAGTTCTGGCGGCAAGTTCTGTTCTGTTCAGTTCTGTCCTATGTATTGAAAATTAGTTCCTTTCAAATTAACTATGGAAGTGTGTGTGTTACGTCTCTGATGAGGTTCCTTACGTAAACCATTTTTCTTTGTTTATTTTCTGAGATTTTGCGCTTAAATCTCCGTATCCTATTTTTCTTTCCTGAATAATTTCAAACTGACCATGCGGCTTAAATTTATATGATGTCTTTCGAAGACGTGATGCACCAATTCTTCTGTTTATGCTAATTAATTTGTTATTATGATGACGTTTCTAAATATTTTGTTATGCACACCGCTTAGTGAATTTTATCACGGCCCAGTGTTTACGCTACTTATATTTTATACAGAAGACTGCTCGGTTATGGCGCATTAGTTACTGTCTAAATGCATCTTAATTATCTATTCCTACTCTGCTTAAGCAGCATTATTATCAGATAAAGACGTGCTTGCTCAATCTATGATACATGCTGCAATGTTTTTTGCCCGAGAAAGCATTTTATTCTGAATTGTGAAACATACTTTGCAAATTTTGTGGATTATGAGATCTTCATTTAAGCGTCCTGGCATATGAAATATATGTACGAGGTAAAAGACTGATGATGCTTTTTGAATACATACATGAGACATACATGAGAGTTTTGTAAAATCTAAGTAACCGAAATGTATTTAGTGTTACTCGAATTATTCGCCAGACATCATCGTCATCATCATCATCATCAATATTGCCGGCATATTGTTGTTTTTACGCAACGTTTCCGGCTCTTAACACATAGGCCCGAAGGGCGCATGACTGTAGTCGGCAATGACGATTGAAAGGAGGCATCAGTAGTGAGAAGGGGGGGGTGACAGTATGACGTCACAAGTTTAAAGAAACACGCAGACTAAGCCCAGAACCAGGAGAGGCGAAGACAGGGTGAAAATCAGACTTGTTCTGTTGTTCATGATAGGTACATGTCATAATAAAGTTACACAAATAAGATTATACAATACAATTTATTAGAATAATAAAATATATGCAAATAAAAAAATGAAAATGAGTAAATAAAATATGTACGGCAAAAAGTCTATATACATATATACAGCGACGTTGCACTCGTGATAAAGTTATGTAGGGAAGTTCGAATCTCGAGCGGTGAAAGGCCGCGAGCGGTCGAATACGTGCGTCCTTCTGCAAAAATCTGATAATCGAACACTTTGAAGTGTTTCATATGTGAGCATTTTTTCGCCTTTTCAAAGAATTTTCTATTAGCTTTATGAAGGAACTCTTCAACTCTGTCGATACGTAGGTCTCTGTGTAAGGTCTCATTAGAAACATAAAAGTGCGCATTAGTAATAACTTCTGAGAAAGTTTGTTTTGCGTTACTTGAAGTTTTTTCATGTCACTTTGAGTGTAGGTCGCCCAGGCAGGGAAAGCGTAACAGAAAATTGGCCTGATAATTGCTGTATAGATGTGTCTTTTCCTTTTAAGATCAAGTCTGGAGTTTTTACCTATTAGCGGGGAGGAGATTTTTGATAGTATAAGGAGGTCTTCCATTTAATATTGTGAATGTGGTCTTTCCAGGTAAATCTGTGATTCAAGACTACCCAAGATAAGTAGCCTTTTAACAAGTGGTACTTCTTCATTAAAGATATTAATTTTTCTGTCTATAGGGATTCTGGAATGTTTTTTGCCGATGATAATCAACTGGGATTTTTGTCCGTTAATCGCAATTCTCCATTTAGCGCACCATTTTCGACATTGCCTGAGCCCGAAAAAAGTGGTGGCCATTTTATTGTAGAGGCACATAGAAAGCGGCTGTCGTTACCTCGTACGAAGAGACGGGCGGTTACAACCGTGCCTTCTGCGAGATTCGAACCCGGGCCCTTTGGTATCGTAGTCGACTCCCGTACCCACTATACCATCTGGGCGGTACATTTTTCAAATTGTTCAGAATTATACCGGAACCTGTAAAGCTAATTTTTTTCTCCTTTTTCTCAGTCACCAATGTCCAAATGAGCTGGCTCCATGGACGTTTTCTGGTTTCTTTTCAGTATGTGAATATCAGCCAGTTTTCCTTATAGTGTTCTTTAACACTTTGCGGCACAGTGTGTCCGGTCTGGACACACCTAAAAACTTCTTTCTGTACGCAAAGAAAAATTGAATGAAAGAGGATTTATAGGTTACTAAGGTTACTCTGAACCTTCTTTATTTATAGTAGATGGCAGCTCAACACAAACCAGTTCATGTATTTTAGCCATATTTAGTTTTTTAAGACACCCTCATTTTTCAAAGAAATCTTCCAGATTTTTTTGGGGGGTATAAAAGGAATTGTTCGAAAAGACATTTCTATGTTATTTTTTTGGCTGTATGCTAATCTCCTTATTCTATATTAGTTTTAAATTTTTACCTTGAAATCTTGCTTAAAATCCAACGGCGAACACCTAAGTGTGCCCAGACCGGGCTCACCGATAATCTAATACAACTGAGAGTCTGTATTCTTTGTTCCTCCGCATCTCATTCGGTCAGTTCATTGACAACAATGCTCGTTTCAGGCACTCTTTTCGCCGCTGTATTCAATCAGTGTGCCACTTTGGGCACACCCACAGAATTGAAACGATAAGTGCTATCTTCACAAAATTTTACTTATGTACTCCTCTAGACCGAATTAGACTGCCTACTTTTTTTTTTTAAAATCAAAACTCTGACTTTAAAACGTAGCGTGCCGGAAGGGTTAAAGAAGCCATTTTTTTTACTTAAATAGGTAGCCGTCTTTACTTTTCGATGATCTAATGAATCCAGTCCAGTCTTTCTTTTTCCATTATACCGTAAGAAGTTGTAACCGAATATACCGAAAGAACTGCTCATTATACCGAAAGAAGCTATTTTTTTTCCTTCTTTTCTCGTTCACCAATGGACAAATGATCTGGCTGCATGGACCCCCCCTTTTTTTTTTTTTTTCTATGGGAATATGAGCCAATTTTGTCAATGTCCTTCAAGATGGCAGCCTTTCGCAGGTTAGCCGTTTTATGCTTTGAGATAATCCAATAAATCCCAATTTAGTCTTTTTTTTTTTTTTTTTCCTTAATTCTTCTTCATGAAGATTAACTTCTTCATGAAGATTACTGTTAACAAAAATTTCTTCATGAACATTCAGTACTGTTAATGTAAATTTCTTCATGAACATTCAGTACTGTTAATGAAAATTTCTTCATGAACATTCAGTACTGTTAATGAAAATTTCTTCATGAAAATTCAGTAGTGTTAATAAAAATAACCTTAATGTTTTATTTGATGGTACATGAATAAACGCATCAGTTGCGTTTTCATTTGTGTGCATTTCTGTATCATGCTGTTTGCTGGCATCTTTATCTGATCTGCCTTTATCAACACTTCTGTGATCGCTGTTAATCTTGCCGTCGTTCAAAGAACTGAAGCCCACTGAACGATGCAGTCTCTCAACTTTTCACCATTTCATTACACAGGCAGACGACCATCAATCATAAGGAAAGATGCTATGAATCCTTCCTTCGTGACAACGTCTCTGTTTTATTATTTTAGCGTTTTAATGTTCCAGAGGCATACAAGATTAACTGTCTCAATAGCCGAGGTTTCTTTCAAAAGCTTATGCGCTATTTGCATCCAGTTTTAAGGCCATTAGACTTGCTGCCTCTTCAAAACAATGATTCCAATTTTTAGTATTCTTTGCGTTTTTTTCCGGTTGCCATACGTACATTGATGCCTTGGTGTTTGCAATCGTTTACTGTCTTATGTTGCCATTTCGCTTGTGCTTGATTGGTGTTAGTGTACTGTTACACATCAACTACTCAGTGAGGGATGTTGTCCAAAGAAATCGGCTGTTTTTCCGCTGCTCCAACAAAAAAGATTTATGCCAATAAT